GTTATTGTGCCACTCGATTCTGTTCATGGCGGCACCATGCTCTTGTATTTAACTTATATGTGTTCTGAAACTGACTCGAGCGAGTCCTATCCAATTAGCATTCGACCTTGAGGTGTCACCATGCAGGATTGCCAGCCGTCCGTAAATTTACAAGCAGTCGATAAAAACGAAACATCGGACAAATATTCTTTCGAAGCTTGATTGAAACTTGTACACTCACATTGAAGAGCAGACTGGTGAGAATGTCATACAATCAGCTGACAGTGAAGAGCAGACTGGTGAGAATGTCATACAATCAGCTGAGAGTGAAGAGCAGACTGGTGAGAATGTCATACAATCAGCTGACAGTGAAGAGCAGACTGGTGAGACTATCATACAATGAGCTGACAGTGAAGAGCAGACAGGTGAGAATATCATACAATGAGCTGACGCTTAAAATGACATAGTCATATTAATACAAACATTCTTATTTGATATTAGACCTTATCACGTGTCCTTAATCAGAATGTTATGTGTACGTAAAAATTCTGGAGATTTAAAATATTTTTCCGTAATTTTATTTACCGAGCTGGCAAACCTGGGTGTCACCCACCACCCTCTTAGGGTAAAGGTACTGTGACCCACTCACCCCCTTAAACTCCCCTAGTGACGCCGCTGGTGGGTGGCATTTTCGGCCAAAAGTAAGGAAAAGAAAGGGATAAAAAGACTCAAGAAATATATATATATTGTCCATTAATTACCAAATATATTATGAGGTTAGTGGATCTCTTTAATGTTGTGGAGTATAAGTCCTGAGACCATGGAGATTCCTAGTTTTAGTATCCAAAACATGGAGCTATGTTTGAGCCACCGTTCTGCGTGAAGTGTAACAGGAGACCCGCAGCACTCTCTCTATAATACTGTCTCTATAATGATGGGTATATTTTCTTGTAGCTTTTCCTTCCCTGTTTGGCGCCCAAGCATTCATTTTTAGATCCTTTATATTAAATTTGGTTTTGTTCCTTGGCGGCTGGCGGCCTGGCAAAAAAATCTTCGGACGGCTAATTGACCCACTTCCCGTCAACCTATCGAACTGAAACTAGGCACATAGACTCATTACCGAAGACAAACATTCTATCAAATTGTAAGCCCTTACCCCCCCCCCCCCCCCCCTAAAAAACCAGGTTTCCCCGTTTTTCAAATTGACGATGAAAGGAAATTCCC